CTTTATGAAAAATTCGATTTTCTCGACAATTAATATTTTTTTGATACACCATGCTAAAAGAAAACAATTATTATTATATATATGTGATTGAAGATTATTAAAAAATAATAAAGAATTAATTTTATACACACCAATTCTGAAATCCATAATTCATAGGCAATAGCATAACGTTTTTGTAAAACTATTTGTTCATCGTCAACATCAGAGTTCATAAGAATACAATAACGAGAAAATTTCAATTCATTCTCATAATCAGGCCACAAATTCAACATAATGTTTTCACCATCCCCATCTCCATAAGGTTCAATGTTTTTAGATTCAATTGGATAAATATGACCCAAAGAACTTAACCATTTCCAAATGACTGATAAAAATCTTAAATGACACCATAAAGTTTCATGTCCAGGATATCTTAAAATAAGATCTCTCGTGAAACGTATTTCATTGAACCATAGAAGGATAATATGATCAGTTTTGGTAGAGGATAAATTTTCAGGAACAGGAAGTTGATTTAACAAGTTATCTCTAGAAATTCCAAGAAAAGTAGCAATTGTAGAATTATAAAATTGTGATTTCTTTATCAAACATAATTGTCGATGATGAAACCCAGAGTGATCAGAAACGTTCGTTCGAACCCATTTTTCCATATTCAGTAATTCATCATCTAAAAATGAAATAGAATTGGAAGAATCAATTGGTAACAAAGAGATAATCCAATGCCTATGAGTCCAAGCGTAATAGTTTTTAGGATATAATTCAGCAACACGACGAATAATAGGAATTTCAAGTCGAAATAATTCGGTAATATCAAACTTATTATCAGATTGATAACGTGATATAATATTCGAGAGGATCCATTTCCTTCTTGCAAAGAAGTAATAAGAAGTTCAAAGAATACAAGAATCATTCAATCGTCAAGAAGATCGAACATGATATCGTTAGATACCGGTGATGCCAAATAGTAGAATTTTTTGTGTGTTTCGGGAAAGTGAGAATGAGATTTATAAATCTCAACTCTTCAGCAGGATCAAGGAGATTATTTAAAATTAATTTTTTCCTTAAATAATAAAAAAAAACAAGGTTAATTTTTATTATATTGATTAAAAAAAAAAGATCATGAAAGATTTGTAACCTTGCGTTGGTAGCTGTGTACAAATCCGGATTGAGCAATAATAAACATCGAGTTGATTGTTTTACGAGTTCGATAGTCTCTTTGTCATCATTGTTAACGTACGCCAACAGTTTTTCATTAGAGTAGCCTTGGTCACGATCGACGTAAAGATTCATAAATATTCCATGAGCCTGTTTAAAAATTTTATGTAAATGTTCTAATGGGATACCAAGATTTGAATCAATTAAAAGAAATGGATAATATTGATCTTTCGGAAGAGTGTTTTGATATGGTAACAAACAAATCTCTTCACTGAAGAGAATGAGTAATTATATTAGAAATAAATATATTTTATTAAAATACAAAATTCTAAATAACGAAAAGTACATTTGACAAGAGTCCATAATCTTGTTAAAAAGTTCATATAAAGTCTTTCCGTCCATCGATATATATTTTTTTTTTTTTTACAAATAACAATATAAAAGAAAATTAGCACTTTCAAAAAAAGATAATCTCAAGTTTGTGAAACATGATAAATGTCACGGTTTTCAATCTGAAAGGAATCCTTTCAAATATAGAATCTTTTTTAAAATTAATATTTATATAAAAAATCTAATAAAGTTTTACGTATTGGATTTTGGTAAATTTACATTAAGTAATGTATAAAGCATATTATTATAGTCATCACATTATCAGTTATCAAAATAAAATAATTAATGTGTAATTGTCGAAAAATGAGATTTTTAGCAACATTCTTCAAAACAACAGCAAAGACAAGCACCAAGAGCGCATCCTAAACATAGAGAATTATCTTTCTTTTCAGGAGGAGCCTGTTGCTGTACAACGACTTGAGGAGGAGGTCTTTTTGATGATATCAGTTAATTAAAAAAAAAAAAAGAGAATTGATTTATATCAATTAAGAGTTGATTTATAATTCAAGTACAAAATTAACAGAATTGACAGAATTGACAGAATTAATAACGATAATATCGATATACTTACGTGGGTTGGTAATAACCTGATTGTTGAGCCGGAGGTGGTGGATAGTAACCTTGGGGTTGTTGTGGAGGAGGAGGATAGTATCCTTTGTCAGACATTTAGGTAAAATTTATTTTTTCAAAGTTTTTTTTTATAATTTATTGAAAAAATTAAAAAGCAAGTACGTATTTTCATGGGGCTATTTATTTATTTTCGGTCATAGTCTATTTCATTGATTTATTTATTAAAGGAGCGGAGATATAATTTCCTGATGCGGTCTCTTGGCGCTACGTAAAAATTTTCGTAAATTATATATTATTTTATTCTTATTGGATGTTCACAGGTTGAATATTCTGAGCATAGATTAGCTTTTATTTATAGATACCGGTAATGTTATTCTCCTTTTTTTTTAAGTAAAATTAAAAATTATTTATTCTTGATAATACAGTGATATATATTGTAATAATTGTTAGTATCCTTTTTCTTTTTCTACACGTGACTTAAAAGTATAATTTTACTTTATTTAAATAACGAATTACGGTGACAAACAATATATTGTTATAAATATATTGAAGCATTGGCGTAAAACACTGCATCAATTTACTACCCAACCTATCGTTCTATCTCTACCTTTGAATCGATCATCCAGACCGATTCCCTGTACAGTATGAGCTGCGATACGGGTCTCCTTGCTCTTTTGCGTATTTAACGTATCTAATTCAATTTCCCATTTATGCACGATTATGTGTCAAATGAATTTCAAATAATATATGAGGAGAATTAAAGTTGATCAAGATATCCTACTTGATGATCTTTCGTCCGGTTTTATCAAAGGAAAAGATAATTTGAATCTATACCGAACGTGTCGTTAAAGGTAAATACTTTATGAATTATGTTTAGATGTCTTTATACCCATTTCTTGATATGTGGTTAATTGGCGTACCGTTGCCAAGAACCTCCCTAATGCATTCTAAATTACATTAAAAAATCCAAATTTTATTTGAAAACGAAGGTCACGTTTTAAAAATCCTGATATGTGTAACGTATGATACACATGCACGATTCGACGATTCACATGACAAATTTTCAGGTTGGTTCACTATGTGCTTTTTTTACTTTAAATTTTGAATTCTAACCACGATATTTATTATAGAAAGAAATGACTGACAGATCGCCTCAACAAATTCATAAAGATCCTCACGTTAATGGCTCAATAGGTAGTAACTCTTCTCGAGGTGGTCATTCTAGTGAAGAGAATGGTAGATCTTCTGGTACTCCTTTTCGTACTTACCATAACGCTGAGGCTAGTTTCCAATCTTCACCAGAAGGTTCTCCCTACCGAATCAAGACGCCCCAATTAACTCCTTATTCTAAACCATATACCGATTATCCGTATGCTTCTTTTCTTTCTCTCTCCTTCCTTTCGTATCTATCCTCTCTAAACCTTCTCTTTTCTTTTAGTCAACATAAATTTCACGGTTGTTCTTCGATCGACGATTACGAATTTATGGACAAACTTGGTGAAGGAACTTTTGGGTATGCTTCGTGATTCTTGCCCTTTATTTCTTAGATTTTTATCTGATCCTCTTTTTTTATAAAATAGTGAAGTGCACAAAGGTAAACACACAAAAAGCGGTAAAATTGTCGCGTTAAAGAGAATATTGATGCATAATGAAAAAGAGGGAATTCCTATAACGGCTATACGTGAAATTAAGATTTTAAGGCAACTAAATCATCAAAATGTTGTGAGTCTATCGGATATGGCTATTGAATATGGTATTTTCTTTATATTATAGTTTTTGTTTTTTATATGCTTCAAATTTTTATTTTA